CAGTAATATTTACGATAAACTACATTTAGCGATGCAATGTTTAGAGAGTTATGAAAAACAAAGCGACTGAATACAGAAGTGTTGATTTGCGACAGACCCCCCTCAGCAAGCACATAATGCTGCAGTCCAAGGCGCGCTAAGCGATTTGGCGCTAGTGTGTGTCCGGTGTTCTGTAATCAGCTGCTGCAGCGCAGACACTTTCCACTTTGAGCTTCTGGCTGTTTTTGAATCATACAGTGCCGTGACCTTCATGGCCAGTCATGTCTGAAGAAGAGATCAAGGTTTCCGATGAGCTTTTCAAAGATGTCAAATTCTACGTGGTTGGGGATATTGACCAAAAGGTGAGATTCTGGACGTTAGCAGCTTTAGCCAAGTGGGTAGCCTGTGCTAACTAGCTAAAGTCATTGACTCTAAAGCAGGTGATGCAAGAGAAGCTAAGTAGCAGCTAAGTATTCGAGCTGTCTTTAGCTACCCTCTATCAGGCCACGTAACGGTGCTTGAGACTTTCAAGTGACGCTCGCTCACTGAATAATTTGTGCAGAAGCTCCTTCAAACTGCACTTTCACGCAGCCCTTTAGCACTAGCTGCGAGTTTTGCATGTTAGCTGCTAGCTCCTAGCTTGCGGTTTGTGAGGCTAAGGCTTGCTGCTGCCGCTTGTTAGCATTATTTTCCTAAACGATTAGCCTCAGTAATATTGCTTGGCACTTCTGATAAGCAGTGAAACGCTGCACTGCCGGTGTATTGTGTTACTTTTCATCAACCTATGACTGTCAGCATCTTGCTCAGTTATTCGCCCGTTACTGCGCATGTGTCCGCAATTCCACCCGTTGGTACTGAACACCTGTGGTAAAGAGCTGTCCTTCTTGTCAAATGGCACTATCCAGACGCTTTGAGTCTGCACCGAGAACAAACAATACAATTATAATTTACAGTCTTCTCATGGATTGATGTCTTATTGGGATTGCTCCAAGCTAAACCTCACATTCTAGTCTGGCTGCGGTTAACGGCTCAGTTACACGCTCAGGTACACTTATTCAGAGCAGAGAGGTGTGATGGACAGTGCCGTGTCTTCCTTTAGCATGCAGTCGTGCACGGTGGGAGAGATGAAAAATAATATATCAGTCACTGAAAAATGTCAGTAACCAGCTCTGTCTTTGTCTGTTAAGGCACACAGGTAATAATTGTAATATTATTATCAAACATGCTATTATTAACACTAGATTTGGGTGGAGCACAGGGCTTCTCATCTTTTTCATCTCTTAAATGATCAGTTGTTAGTGCTTCATGCAGTCCATGTTAAGGGATGTGACAGGCCAATTTTCAGCCAGTGAGAAGGGGCTTTAACGGCGGTTTAGTCTTGAAGATCGCATTGAACAATTATATTTTTGTACATATTTACAGTCACGATAATATGCTGACATTTACACCATAAACCAGCAAGGTTTTTGGTCTGCCAGCAACAGATCTGACACTGCTGTCTCTTAAGGGATCATGTCCTGATCAGAATGTGTGGAAATGGTTCCTGTGATAAAAATAGGCATCAAGATATAAATGAAATGTCTCAAATCTTTGATGCAAAGTTTAATTGAAGCATTACAGCCTTTGAAATCCACTAGTCATAATTTCGTTTGTCAGGGATGAGCCTTCTCAGATAAGTGCTCACACTGCCAGATAGTTGCCACAAGCGTCAGCTTAAACAATGCTCCTTTGCCAATAAGATTTCCTCTTTAAAATGTTGGAGGTTGCCCTGAATCGGTGCCTGGGTGAAGGCAGTTTGAAGTTGTCTCTCAGACTCTGTGCTCCTCCTCCAAAGAATGATGACTATTAGTCTTCAGTTTTCACAACGTGGACCTTGTCCAAAGTTGGTGTGGATAGACTTTAAGGTCTTGGACTTAGCTGGTAGTACTTGTTCTGCTAAGCAACAAAGGTGAGCTACAATAAAACCAAGTGTCCACTTAGTCTCTTTGCAGTCAGAAATGTAGGAGTTTCCACCTGCCTGACTGAGAGTGAGCTGAGACTGCTGACTGACACTGAGGAAGCCAACAGCAGCAGCCTGCCTTCAGAGAAACACTAGATCAAAGCTCTCTGGTTTCATAATCACTGATACTCTCACGTGGATGATAAAGAAATCACAAAAGGCTTTTGTTGGAAACTCTGTGCTCAGAGCATCTACAGGTTATTAAGAATATCAGTATTTGTATTTATCCACACTTATCCTTCTGACCTATTTAGTTCAAAATAACTTTGTGAACTTGTGGCTCCCACAGCGTCTGTGTTAGTTAGTTAAATTGATGTAACTGGAATTCTCTGCTCGTACTCC